AAATAAAATAAATAAAAGAAAAAAAAAGTTTTTTAGTGAGAGAAAGAAAAGATTTAAATTATAAACTTTTTGAAAAAATAAAAGTGGAAAATATGAAGTTTATTTGTTATCAACCCCTTCCCTCTCTCTCCCCCCCTTTCTCCCCCTCTCCCCCTCCCTCTTTCTCTACCTTAAAAAAAAAACGTGTACGAAAATGGAACGACAAAAAAATTTTTCTTTATACCTAACAAAACAAAAATAAAAGACTCGAAAAATTTATATTGTTTATGTTTGAAAGCTTATACGTTTATTTTTATTTCTTCTGACACTTTTTTTTTTTTATCCGCCATCTTTAATTTTTTTTTTATTAATATAAATAGTACTCGCACGTTTACAAACACACACACAAACACAAAATAAAAACGTGATTAATCGTAATACATAAATTAAAATTAACAAAAAAAAAGTCATCTTTTGGGTCTTTAATTATTATTATTATTATTATTATTATTATTATTATTATTATTATTATTATTATTATTATTATAATCACGGGAGTAATAATAATTCCATTAAATAATTATTATTCTTGAAATATTAAACCTTTCATTATTTTTTTTTTTTACTCTTATATTTTTCTTTACTCTTACATTATCTCATTTAATTATTATCATTATTAATTATTTTATCCCCTCTACTCCTCCTTCATCGTCATCATCATCATCATCATCATTATTATTATCATCTTTACACTTTGACCTTTTTTACTTTAATAATTAGTGGACACGACGACGACCACACGGTATTATTAAATTTATAATTTTTTAATCCTTTAATGATTTAATTTTTAATTACCGGTAATATTAATTAATAAGAAAAAAACCGGAAACCGGAAACGGCTATTTTTTAAATTCGTAAAATTGAACAATAACGAATCCCGCGTCAATCGAAATTTAATTTAAACCAAAAAAAAAAACGAAAAAAAAATTTTGTTGTCTTCAACTCAACTTTTCACTTTCCCTTACGTCACGACTTCAAAGTTTATAATAATAATAATAATAATAATAATAATAATAATAATAATAATAATAATAATAAAAGAGGGTTAAAATAATTTTGTTTATGTTGTAAATTACAACGTGACGAAAAAAAAAGAGAAAAAAAAATTATCATAAAAACAAAAATAAAAAGTATTTTATCATCATCATTTTCATCATCATCATCATCATTCTTTCTCTCTTCTCTCTTGTTATACTTTTTATTATTATTATTATTATTATTATTATAAATCATCAAATAAATTTTATTTTAAAGGAACCATCTGACGCCTTTGTCTGTTTTTTTTTTTTTTTTTAAAAAACTTTTCTTAAAACTTTTTCTTTGACTTTAATAAAAAAAAAAAAATTTTTGTTTGTTTGTTTGTTTGTCTTTTTTTTTTTTGTTTGTTCGATATAAAAATTTATTAAACGAAATAAATTAAATTTAAAGGGGAAAAAAAAGCAAAAACATAATTTTTTTTAATACATCAAATAATAATAATAAATATAAATTTTAATAATAAAATTTAACGTGCGGCCATTTTGTTTTTGTTTTTCTCCTCTATTAGTTGTAACAAAAAAAAAGAAAAAAAGTTTTTTTAAAACTATTCGGCAAAGACATAACCATTTATTTCATAGTAATTTACTTTTGAAAAATTATTATACTAATTTTTACATAGAAAAACTAAAAAAAACTAAAAAAACTAAACTTATTTTCAAATGTTTTTTGTTAAAAGTAAGTAAAACTTTCTAACAAACTTCCGTTATAAGAAACGTAATCAATGACAAAAGTAAAATTTATATTTATATATATATAAATATATATATATACAAGGAAAATTTCAAGACTTTTCATTACATAAATCTCAATTACTATTAATTCCTATGGGAATTTACTAAACTTTTTCACTATTAGTATAAAAAATTTATGTTTTCTACTATATTAAAAAACCCCTTCCCTTCCTCCCTCTCCCCTTACCTCCCCCTTCCCTCCCTTTTTTTTTAACAACCACGAATCCTCATCACATGTTCTATATTTTTCATTGTTATTATTTAATAATATACTTTCACAGCCATTTTACTTTTTTTTTTAAAAAAATCCATTCGATCAATTTATTTTATTTTATTTTTTTATAATTAAATTAATTAAGATAAATGTTAATTTAATTACCTTAGAATAATTATCAATCGATTTAAAACTTTTAATTTTTTTTTTTTTAAAAAAAAAAAAAGAAAAAACCCGCGCTCACGCACTCACACACACAGAGAGAGACGCATGTGGACGCAATTATTATTATTATTATTATTATTATCCACCATTAAACACGACAAGGCTACTTGTCGGAGTTTTTAAGTATTTATCCGAGGTTTCTACCCGATTCCTTAGGGACAAATACTCGAATTTCGGTGGTGCCACTTATTATAAGATAGCACCACATCAATTCTTGAAGGTCTTCCTGAGTCCGTCTTTTTCGATGGGAACGATTTGTCTCCTGAACTGGGCTCCGGTGACTAACATCTTTGGAGTGGCCAGGGTCAGAAGCAGTGAAATTCACGTTCTCGTCGAGCTGCCTCAGGTCGACAGTAGAACAAGATTTTTGTTTTTGGTTCTTACTTTGTCTGTTCTCAAGCCAACGGCAC